TGTCCTCAGTACCCCCAGGCTTTGGTGTCTCTGATAGGGCCAGAGAGGCCCCTCTAGAGTTTCAGGACAGGGTCACACCCCAGGAATCAGGGCCAGAAGGGGTTTGAGAAGCCTGCCAGGACCCTGTTTCTCATCACTCCAATAGCTAGGCCCTAAGCCCTCTCTTTACCCAAAATGGGCTACCAGGCCTCTGTTTTCACCTGCCTCTGTTCCCAGTGTCCTGAGCTTTTGCTGGGATCTGGCCAGCTCTGAGAGTCCCATGCTACCCCACCGTAGGCTCTTAGCCCTGGGAAGGAGGGCCTGGCACTCACAAGGCCCCCAGTCTTCCCCATGGCCCTGAGCCAGGCTGCTCTCCCCTCCTACAGATGAGCTCCCTCCATTTGGGGGAGCAGATGACCCCAAACGACAAGGACTGGGGTCCCTGGCCGTGCTGCCCATAAGGGTCCCTCAGGGTCCCACACCTTTAAGCACTAGGGCCATGGTTAGTGGGTTATGTGGGGCCACATGTGGGGCCCCTTGGCTGGCTGGTGCCTCCTACCTCCCAACCCTCTCCCCACCCCATGAGGTCTCCAGCCAGGCCTCGGGCCCCACATGGGGACCAGAAGTCCTGGGTCTTCATACCTTCCTCATGGACTTCTGCGGTGAGGAGTGTCAGGGAGTGCAGAGTGCCAGGGAGGAGAGAGGACAGGATTAGATGGGGGCAGGCACACATCCTTAGAGGCGGGAGCCAGGGTCACAGCCCAGGCACACCAGGATGGCTGTGTGGTGAAGGCTGGGTAGGGTCAGGAAGACTGGGAGGCAGGTGTGGGGCTGGGGTCCCGGACCCCACTTACCTTCCTCCTGGGCCTCTTCTGAGGTTGGAGAAGCCAGAAGTAGGAAGGGGTGGGGGAGAGAGAGAAAAGGAATAAGACAGATGTTAGAAGGGCTTACTAGGGGTGAGGACAGGAGGCTGGCCCACAGGAGGAGAGTAGAGGGCTCTCCCGATAGAAGAGGGCAACAATGACAGGTCCTGCATTCCTGGCCATAGCCGTTGGCCATGAGGAGCGAGATTATCTGAGAGTCGGCTACCCCAAGGCGCCACAGCTGCCTGGGCCTGGGCCTCCTCTCTGCCTTGGGCCTGGTCTTGCATGTGTAATGCTTAAGAACAAGAAGTCAAGCTACATCTTACTCTGTGGGGGATGCCAACAAGGACCAGGGACAAAACCCGAGTGTAATGAGAAGACGCTACATGCTCAGCTCATTTCTGACCACAAGAACATCCCTGGGAGCAAGGTGGGCAAATAGGTCTTGGAGAAAATATTCTCAGGAGACCCTCGCATGACCAGGGAATAGATGGCTCCCAGGGTCACGTTTCCTGCTCAGAAACAAGCCTTTCCACTTTTCAGCAGAAAAATGAAGTGTCCCACTCATGTTGTTAAGGTAGCAAGTGTTTGCAAAATATTTTCAAAACATAGCACCCAGCAGCCCTTGCAGGACAGCCTGCCTGTTGAGGCTGAGCGGCTGCCAGGGGCCTGAGCAGCACCCTTCTGGGCCTAGGAACTGCCGCGCCCACTGTTCACAGGTGTGCCCGTGCCTAGCACTCTGCCGCCCACGCCTGCCTGGACACGACAGCCAGGGAGGGTCTTGCCATACACCTGAGGGTAGTGGTGGTGATGATGGGGGATGTGGGAGACACTGGGAGAGACAGAGACAGAAACAGAAAGAGACAGAGAAAGAAATACAGAGAGACAGAATCAGAGGGAGGCTGGGAAAGATACTGAGAAATGCCTGGACACAGAGGAGAGAGGTGCTGAGTGATACCGAGATATCAATAAAACACATAGACCCTGAGACGTGCAGAAAGACACCAAGAAAGACAGACAGGGAGACAAAAAGCAGCAGTGGTGTACACTGAGGCCCTTGATGTTAATGAGTGCATTTTAATGACCAGATCCCAACCCACTCCACACACTGAGGTTGTGACCACCCCACAAGGCATTCATGAACAATTAATGAGTATTCATTAACAATTGAAGAGATCAATCAATCATCATTGAAGGTTAATGATGATTTAATTAATGACCAAGTCATTGACCATTAATTAAATGATTGCATTCTTAATCACTAAGAAATGATTAATGATAGTTAATGTTGAATTAATGATGAAAAAGATGGACAGTTAATTGATGAGCTAGAAGAGGATAGGGAGGGCTGGATGAGCAGGGCCTTCACCAAGCAGGAGGGGGCTCCATAAAGAGGGGATCTGGGGGCTGAGGGGCCTCCAGGGCCACCACAGTTACCTTCCTCTTCGTACTCCTCTGCATTGGAATAGAACAAAAGAAAGGGGCCATGTTAGCAGGGGCTGCTGGAGAGTGTAGAAGTGGGAGGGCCAGCCCACCTCATCCCTGGACAGTCCAGCCTCTTACACTGGCCAGGGAGGGGGCCTGGGACTCCTTGGGCCTGAAGAAGGCTCTGTACTGCAGGAGAAAATGGCTGAGCCATGAGGGTTGCCTCTATACCCCAGTGCCACATCCTACCATGACCATGAGGCCAGCAAACCCCAAGCTCTTCAGGGTCAGAGAGCCCCAGCAGGTCTACACGCTGAGTGGGTGGAGATGTAATCACTTCTTAGAGAAGAGCTCAGACCACTTCCAAAGGAGGTTGTCACAGCCCCCACCCACAAAGGTGGCCAACCTAGCCTGTCCAGGCCAGAGGCTCTCAACAGATATGTGCTGTCCCCGATCAATCCCCCTTTCCAAGGGTGATTTTTTTTTTTTTGGACTAGAGATGGAAGTAGAAAGAAAGAAAATAGCTGTGACACTCACCCTCAACTTGTTCGCTGCGGAGGCGGGTGGAGGGGGAGAGAGAGAAAGAGAAAAGGGAGTGAGGCAGCTTCTGCTGGCTGGGCTGCAGCAGCCCCCAGCAGCCCAGACTGCACCCAGGCCAGGGTCTGAGAGCTCCCAGGCAGTGGTACTCACACTTCCTCGTCAGACATGGTGAGGGCGGGTTGTTTCTGGGAAGAGAAAAGTGGAGAGGTGACGTGGTTTTTGGTGAGGGAAGGTGACTCAGAGCTGGAGTTAAGAAGGTATATCACAGGACTTGGTCAAGCCCTGGTCCTTGGCCTTCTGCACACACAGCCCCCTATCAGCTTCTACCCAGCCTTCTTCCCCAAGACTTCAGTCCTTCTCCTTTCTGCCAAGGCTTCAGCCTGGAGCTTGGAATGCCCCAGATGCAGACATTCTCCCTGAAGCATCCCCAAGGAAGGCCCTGGAGGTGCAGAGTATAGTCCAGGGCAAAGAGGGCTCTGCAGATTGTTCTGCATGCTGGGAAGACTTGCAGGTCTGAGACACAGCCTGTCTCTTGATGGCTTCCAGTTAGGTGATGGTGAGCATTCTGGGGGCCCAGGACGACCAGAGCCAGCTCCCTAAAATGGGCAGTACAGACTTTCTCTGATCTGCCTGCCCACCATACCCTTTCTTTGTATGAGCCCAAAGTACCCTTTAATGCCTCCTGGTTTCCACTCCCTTGAGGATGCCCCAGTGCCTCTTTTGTGTTCCTTAAAGCCCTCTAAGGATGCCTCCTCCAAATCACAGAGCACATGAGTGATCCATCTACCTGACTCCCTCTTCCCCTGTAGACATGGAAGCTGAGTCTCTGACCCCAAGAGGGCTGTGGTCAGGAGTGTTCCTTGGCAGGTGCCCCAGCCTGACAGTGCTTTCCCTTCTGGTATGCCTGATCTCGTCATCTTGTGGGAAAGTGCCATGCTTGGGACTGGCTGCACCTGTGGCAGGGCAAGGAGTTTGGGACTCTCCTCCGTGAGCTGGTCTCACACACGCCCTGGCAGTAGGGGCCTGGGAGCTCTCTGAGGAGTCATATCAGAATGTTGGCTTCAAGTTTAAAAAATAAAGCTCATGACAACATATTACATACTTGAAGGCAATAGTGATAGCTCCTCCAGGGAACTTCAATGAGAAAACACCCATCTATCAGCTAAAAATCCAAAGCTAAAATAGGAGCCATTTTCAACCTCTTTGTCTATAGTGTTTGTTTTTTTTTTTTCTTTCCAGAGCAAGTTACTCTCTGTGCAAAATTAACCATCGAGCATCTGTGAACCCATGTCCAGGCACAAGGTGAGGCCAACCTCACCCCAGAACCCTGACCAGGATTCCATTGCCCATCAGCGGACAGTCTCTTGTATATCTGCAGCTGGGCGGGGACTCATCATTCCTCGGTGCAAGTTGCTGACCCATCTGGTTCCTCTGGTCCTTTTTGTTCCCTACGAGCTCCCAGCTCCCCTTCTTCCTTGGGGTCTATCCCCTCAGGGGGTCCAGAATCCACCCCTCTGTCTACTCCCAGGCCACTCTGTAGGGCAAGTGGATTAGTGAGGGCTATGGAGCTGGGGGACCCTGCTCTCCTACCTCCACCCCGACCCCCCAGCAGGGCCAGCACCTGTCAGCCACCAAGGGGGAGGGGTGGCCCATTCCTGGGAGGGGCTATTTATAAGGAGCCTGTGGCAGCTGAGGTATCCAGAAATAGGCATCCAAATCAGCAAGACACCTCTGCCCAGAAACCCAAGACGATGTATGGGGGGGGGGGAGAACAGCCCAAGCCTTCCTCCCTGCTCCCACCTCCTGAGGGCACCCAGTGAGGGTACCTGTGCCCTTTTAAGGTGAAGCAGCAAGGGCTTCTTTCCAAGTGGGGAAACTGAGGCTCCTACTCCTCTAAGAGTGCTTAAAGGCCCCTGCAGGGCTGCTTTGCACTCCTCCCCCTCTGTGTGGTCCCTCTCACCATCTCTGTGGGGGAGGGTGCTGGGGCAGGGGATAGCATTTTGACAGCTGAGAAGGGAAACAGTTGTCCCCGTTCTTCTCTGAGCTCAGAGGCAATGCATGTAAATAGCCTGTGAGGCTGGTTCCTTGGGGACATGTGCCATCTTTCCCTCCATCAGGGACGAGGGGTGGGGGTACAGGAGGCCCTGCCAACCTGCCAGGGGACTGTGACCACGCCTTGCCTCAGCTCATTCTCTCCAGCTTGTCTCACTCGGCCCCGTCCCCTCCAAGGATGCCCAAGGACCTCTGGACAGTGCGCAGGACCTCCTGGATGAGGGAGCCTGGCCAGCGACTTCACGGGCCCTCTCAGGGCTACCTGCTCCTTCCAGCCACAGGCAAGGTGGGACATAGGCTTTCTGGGCAGGAACAACCCCCTCCTCCCTGTCCTGCCCCAGCCCTGCCCCTGTCCACTTCCCCATGAGCTACCCAAGGCCTGCTTGAGGTCTAGACATTTCTCCCTCTGGCATCCTTTCTATGTGAGCTGCAATGTCTACCCCTTCCTATCATCCCTATAAAAGGGCAGTGTCAAAGGCAATGCCCGGGAAGCTCCAGATGGGAATGAGGCAGCTAGGTCTCAGCAGGCAGCCCCTCAGTAGTCCTTGAAGCTCTGCATTGAGTCCCCTTTGTGGGATCTAACTTCACACTCTTACCTCTCCACCTCAGAGTGGCTGCTTGCCCCAGGCCTCCCAGCACACTGCCTGTCCCACTCCACACCCTTGTGTTCTCCTTTAGCCCAGGTCCTATGCTGAGGCTAGGGGAACATGGCAACATGATGTTAGAGCTGCTCACCAGTGCCCAGGGGCCACTTGGCCTCTCCAGCTACCATGCTTCCCATCCAAGTATCAAGCAACTGGTCAGCCAGGGGGAGCTCGGCCCCCAGGCCCAGCAGTGCTTTTTGGGTTCAATGCAGCTCCCTCAGCTCCAGTGCAGGAGATCTTGGGGGTAGCTCATTCCCATACATACCTGCTGCTGAGTCTGAGAAGGGCTGGAGCTCCCTGTGGACAGGACCAGCTGCAGGCACTGCCTGTTTGGCCTCAGATCCTCATGTTATACCGACATTCGATCTTTCCCAGCAGCCCATTGGCCAGTGGCTGGGTGGCTGGGGTGGGGTGGGGGTAGGGTGTGCCCAGTCAGGCCCCTGACCAAGTATAGGAATGGCCAGAAGAGGAGGCCGAAGGAGGCGAGGATGGAGGAGACATGCCTTGAAGAGTCAAGGTCCCTGCCTCCCCCAGGAAGGTGTCAGCTGCTATTTTTACTGCCCAGTGGTAGGCCTTTTTTGAAGGACTCAGGAGCAGAGGATGAAGGTGGCAGATAGTCTTGGGATGGGGATGAGGACTGCCTTAGGTCAGGCTGGTGTGGGGGTCCCCAGGAATGGAGTCACAGGTTCCCCAGCCCCCACCCCTCTGCCCAACGTATGCTGTGGGAGTGGACACCTCACCCAGGGCAAGCATCTATGCAGAACCTTGCCCAGCTCACCCCATGTCCCCTATTAAAGGATCAGACTAAGACCCCAAGGGAGTAGGGGACTTTGAATCCTTAGCCCCATCCCTATGAGGCTCTTGGACGCCAGGCCTGTTGCTCCAAGTGAGACCATGGGGACATACAGATGAACAGGTGGCAAAAAGTTACCTGAATCCAGTGGCTCCTGCTATGACATCTCCTCAGGTGGCTGGTGCCTCCCATGGCAAGGGGCTACACCTCTGTCCTCAGCTCTTATTAGTCCAGAAGTTAGAGATCTCTTTCTGCCCAGGGACCAGAGCAATGTTCGGGCTCTGGGTGGCCGGTTGTGTGCCTACAGAGCTGGCCTTTCTTCCCTCAGGACTCCAGGGGGCACCATCCAACCAACAGATGCCTCTCATGGGCCTCTGATGGCTCCGTGCTTGCCAGGGAGACACATATGTGGATGGCCCTGCCTCTTGGACTAGGGAAACTGAGGTAGGGCTAGGGCGAAAGCAGCTCAGCACCTTGACTTCATTGCATGCACCTTCCAGATCTCATGGACTGGACATGGCTCATAGGCTCCATGGAGCTGCCCACTCCAGAGACAATCCATCCCCAGGCAAGAGGAGCCCCAAAAGATACAGACAAGCCCCTGCTTTCCAGAGTCCTAGGGTTGGGGCATCCAGATGACCTGGTACAAGGCCCACAGTGCCCCAGCTCTAGGTCTACCTGGCTCTTTGCTCTAGATCTAAGTCTCAAGCCTTCTATGGTTACCACTTCACCCAGTCCCTACATGCTGGACATGAGGCCTTGAAGGCTAGATATAGGCAGAGATGTGCATGGGGCAAAGGCAAGAAGAGATAGTGTCCTGGGCTGATGGCTTGAAAGACAGGGGCCTTTGCTGCCCACCTCTCTCCCAAGCACCTAGCTACTGGAGTCACCCCTGTCCTCCTGATCAGAACCTATACCTCCCTCTCCACTTGTCCATGTCCCCAGACATAGCCTGTACTCCTGGACATCACTGACCAGCTCTCTGGCTGTGAGTGTCTATTCCAGAGTCCTGCAGAGATCCTGAGCTAGTTCCTCAGGAGCCTCCAGCTTCTCCTACCATGAGGCTGATCTCCCCAACCCCAGGCTGGTTCTCCAGAGTCTGCTAATAGAGGCCTGAGCATATGCTGCCCCCTTCCCACTACAGATGCCCATGTGGTGAGTAGGACTCAGAGAGAACTTGGTTTCATCTCTTGGCCTCACTGGAGCTTGTTGGCCTGGGAAGCCTTTGTCCACTAACCTTGCCTGGCGAGGGTGGGAGACCTTTAGAGGCCAGACCTCCAGATGGGCATGCCGCAGGCTCTGCAGTGGCCCTGCTTGGCCAGCAGGGGAGGGTGGCTGTCCACTTAGCAAGGCTCAGCCTTTGGCAGGTGCTTTCTCATGAGGTCAGAGGGACAAAGCAGGTCTTATTTTGGGTAACAGCTACCTCCTCCTCAGGGCGCCAGGCCTGAGGTACACCAGGACAGCAGAGAAGACACTGGTGGACACTGCTGCTGGCTGCTGAGGTCCTGTGACAGGTAATCCACACCAGGTCCCACCTGTCCTGGGTGGGGCTGTGTAAGGGGAGGGCAAACCCGGTAGAAGCCTCTTCGGGGGAGTAGGGCAGAGGGACTGGAGACGCTGGTGGAGCCAGAGACAAGAGGCAGCTCAGTCCAATTTGATAGGGGACAGATTTCTACCCTGCAGCCTGGAGGCTGCCGGTGCCAGTCACAGGCCACAGTGGCAGCTTCAAAGTTGTTGAATATTGAGCTAAGCCCCCTAGGTGGAGATGTGGCCATAGGAGGGGGCCAACTTCCCCAGTGTTTCATTTCCAGTGGCCTGTGTGGTGACCCCTCTAGCTGGGTCCCATGTCCCAGAATATGTAGCTGGGAATGGAAGAGCCCACCAAGGTTGAGCCTTTCCTGGTGCCCTGGGCTGACCCATGGCAGGCTGGTTCTGCCAGGCCCAGGATAGGAACAGCTGACTCGGCACTTGGGACTAAGCCACTCCAACCATGGTGGCTGCTGCCCCCATGCCCTTGCACAGCCTGTGGTTTTGCAAACTCATTGATGGGCTCTGTAGATACCAGGGGGTGTCTCTTGTGTGCAGAACTGTGTGGTACCTGGACTAGGAGCAGTGGGCCATCGGGGGCCCCTTTGGCGGGCAGGATGGGGAAGAGGCAGTGTTTTGGCGTCAGTGGGCAGCTGCCTTCTGGATGGTGACCACTTTGAGGCTCTGGACTTTGACAGTGGTGGAACTGCCCTCCTGGTTTGGGACAGCAGGTGTGGGTGTGGCTCAATGCTGGGGTGAACTCTGCACCTGCAATCCAAGCCAGGTGTGGGTTGAGCCCTGGACGAGGCGACAGAACTTGGATCCTCATCCCTGAGTCTGAGCCACTGGGAATCTGGCCCCCTGATTGTTAATGCTGTGTGCTCTGGTCCTATGCTGAAGTCCTGCTTCCTGCCCCACTGTTGGCTTTGGGGTGGCCTTTTGCCTATTGTCCTTGGTCACCATCCCCTCCAGACTGTGCATGAAAGGAAAGGAACATCTGCCACCTGGGAAGTTCTCTTGCCTTCACAGAGGGTAGCACTCAATACCTTCTCAGTGGGAGGACTGTGAACAGAAGGGGATGGTGGGCTGCCACGTCCCTTGCCTTGGCAGATGTGTTCTGTTGAGCTTTATTTATGTGTGTGTGTGTGTGTGTGTGTGTGTGTGTGTGTGTGTGTGTGTGTCTCATCCCACCAGGGGGCGGGGCTGGCTGGCATGTGGTGCTGGGGGATTGAACCGCGGTCCCTGTGCTTTGCTAAGCTTGTTCTAAGTAGGTGCTTTAGACCACTGAGCCATTTCACCAACCCCTAGAGCTTTAGCCTTCTTAAGCTTCTCGTGTTCATGAGACAAGTGAAGTTTGACGAAGAAGGCTTCAGAAAGTGGAGCCTCTGCATGCCTAAGTGAATGGCAGGGACAAGCTTACCCCATCAGTGTTCGAGGGCTGCTCAGACACTCAGGCCCCAGGGTGGTCCCAGGGAGGAGAAGGACTGCTAAGGACAACCCCTACCCTGTCTCCTATTTATGCTCTTTCACATCCTCCTCTTCATTCATTCTCAAGCCTATATGCTTACACTCACGACTTTGTTTTTGTATATTTCTCCTTTCGTCCTTCTATTCCTCCATCACCTATATACCCACTTGCCAGATATCCATTCATATGTCTGTCCATCCATTCACATATCTACTCATCTATTCATCCATCCATTCCGCCATCTATCACTCATTCTTCCATCCATCACCTATTCATCCACCTATCCTTCTATTCATCCATTCATCAAGCCATCCATCCATTCACACTTCCACCCATCAGTGTGTTCATCCATCCATCAATCCCATTCATCTCTCCATCCATCCACCTACCCATTCCCCATCATTTATCCAATGACCCATCTACTTGTCCATCCCCTAATCTGTCCCTCTATCCATTAGCTTATCCACCCATCAGTCATCTGTTCTACCACTCTCTTATTTATCTGTTCATCTGTCCATTCATCACCCCCATTCATCTATCTACTCAACAATTTAGACCTCTGTCTAGCATGGGCTAGGATGTCCTTCAGGTCTGATGGGGTGACCAGCTCTCTATACATTTTAGGCCTCAGTCTCTCCTTGCTAAGGGGCTCTTGGCTGATGTAGAAAATGGTCCTTTTAGCCAAGTTCAGGATTCTTCATCCCCCAACTGTGGGGGGCCAAAACTAGAGGATTATAGGAACCACTCTATGGAAGCTTTACCCCTTAGTGAACACACAGACAGGGCACCCACAAGTCCAATGGTCCTGGTATTGTGAGGTTTATATTGGGCCAGGAAAAGCAGAAGTATTATAAATATCCTGCAAGAGAAATGAGGGGGTCCCAGCCATTGTGGGTACCCCAATTTAGGACATCTCACATGTCCTAAATTGTGATCCTAGATCCTGGATCCATGTCCTAGATACCAGGACCCATGTCCTAGGTCCTGGTATCTAGTGCTCCTTAAGGACATAGGACAGGCCCTGAGTTTGCGACCATCATGCACTATGCAGTGCATGGGCTGCCCCATGGATGTGACTTTTATCTCCTGGCCAGTCACACTGCCTCATCCCTCCCATTAGAGAGCAAAGGAGGCCAGCACACAAGGGGCTCTTGAGACAGTTTATTGCCCAAAATGCGAGGGGGTCCTGTAAGCAGGGAGCTTGAAAGATGTAGAGTGCTGCACATCCAGCATGGCCTCAGGTGTCCCTCAGGTCTGGTGAGGTGCCTGGCCCTCTGCAAAAGCTGGGCCTGTTTCTACCTTCCTTAGGGCCTCTTAGCTACCCTAAGAAGTCATCCCTTTAACCATGATCAGGAGTCTTCTTCCTTCCTCAGCTGTGAGAGGCAGAGCTAGGGAATCAGAGTAGGAAAGTACAGAGGCCTGAAGGCCCAGGAGCAGAAGGAGGTAGTGAAGGAGGCGGGAGCTTCGGGGGTGGGCAGCGAGGGCAGGCCGTGCTGGTCATAAGCAGCAACTTCTCAGCGGAGGCTGGCGTTGGCAGTGGTGCCTAGGCAGAGTCTCCCCTGGCAGAGCAGAGGGAGCTGCTAGCCTGCACCTGTCAAATAGAAGAATGGGACATGAGGGACATTATCCTGGAGCCTGAGAAGGAGCTGTAGCTACATGTCCTGAAAAACTCAGTTCTCTGCTCTCTCCACACTGCTGTCCACTAGTGGTCACCAGGCCCACAGCATACCCCCTTCCTGCAGCCACAAGTGCCCTGTCTCAGCCTCCACCCAGTGTTCCAAGTGTGGGCCCTCCTCCAGACCATTTCCAGGTAGAGGGAATACTACCCACTCACCCTGGCAGACCCCACAATGTGGGGCTCCCTCAGTTCTCCAGGCCTACAACCAGCAGCCTGGAGTGAGGCAACAGACCCCTTCTGGCCCCTCCCCAGCAGATGGCTCCCGCCTCGTTAGAGCCAGCCCCTACGGCAGCAGCCCAAGGCCTCCCTCCTCCCAAAACCAGACAGCCTCTGGCTCGTCCCAGATGCCATTTGTCAACGTCCTTGCAAACACGTGGCGCCCAGAAACCAAGGCGGGTGGCTTGGCCAGGACCACCCTGGACAAGAGGTCTGCGGGAATATCCCATTTAGCGTAGCTCAGCGAAAATTGCTCCCACCTTCCGGCCAATCTACCTCTGATGATGCAGCCTCAGCTTTCCCAAGCCATTTGGCCGCCACTCCTTACCACTGGCTTGCAGCAGACCGACGCACTTGTGGTTGGGCTGGCGACAGCATGGCGCCCCTCACGTGTCTGCGGGCAGCCTGCTCTTCCTGCCCTTGGCCAGAGTCAGTAACTAGCCAGGCTCAAGCCCCACTTGGAGCTTGCCTGTGGGTCTCCCGGCCCCCATCCTGCATGACACCATGGCCTGGCCCAGCTTACATGCATGAGAAGTTGGCATCATGCTGGGCCTCGAGGACATGGGCAAGTTCTAGTCCTTATCACCTGCCAAGAGGCTGTAACTCTTGGGGCTCACTTCCATACCAGGACATGGTAGTCCTGCCCACAGCCAGGGATGCCCACGCTTAGAAGGCACTGGCAGATCCTGGCTGTCAGGCAAAGGGCTTTCAGTAGTTCAGAAGCCATATGTCTGGCCTTCTGGAGAAGGGGGACCACATGTCCCACAGGGCTGGCCTGACTGTGTCCCTCCCACTACAGGGTGCAGTGATGCTCATCTCCACTGCCTCGGTGCCTCTGGGGGCTGCTGGCCGGAGTCCCCAGGGAACCGTTGGTCCCCCTCCACCCTTGCTGCCCAAACCAGGGAAAGACAACCTGCGTCTGCAGAAGCTTCTGAGGAAGGCGGCTCGGAAGAAGATGACAGGGGCTGCCCCTACCTCACCTGGGGCCTTCCGTGCCTCCCTGTCCCCTGTAAGTGAAGTCAGCCACGACTTGGAGACCACGGCGCCACGTTCTACAGAGCCCCCACGTCCTGCTGCGGCCTTGTACCCTGCCGAGGCCCCGCACACTGTGGTGCCCCTGCCCCGCTCCCCACACACCCCTGTCATCCACCATGTAGCCTCACCCCTGCAGCGATCCACATTCTCCTTCAGCCTCACGCAGCGCCAGGCTCTGGCTGCACACTTCAAGGCCCCTTCAAGGCTTGAAGCCCCAACCCCAGAGCCTGCCTCGCCCCCCAGTGGCTTTTCTTCTGTCTCAGCTCCCACAACAGGAGGCACCCATGTCACTCAAGTGCACATCCAGCTGGCACCATCTCCAAGTGCAGGAACTCCTGAGCCCCCCAGGACAGCCCTGAATGGGGGCCCCAGCAGCCAGAATGGAGAGCCAGGCCTGGGTCTCCCCAGTACCCAGCCCCTGATCCCAGTGGCCCACATCCGCCCATTGCCAGCTGGGGTCCAGGCTGTCAGTCCTAGGCCTGAGGAGCCCCCTACAGTGAGACTGCCCTCCAGCTTCCAGGCCTCGGTGTCCAGAGAGGCTGGGACCAGAGTGGTAGTGCCCATCGCCCCCACCTACCGCTCACCTGGACCCTTACCGTACAGCCCGGCTCCTGCAGCACCTGAGGCTGAGCACTTGGAGCAGTTGCCTACAGCCAGCCCTACACCAGAGGTCCAGCGGGTCCCATTGGCCCTGGCCTTGGCACCAGGGACCCACCCAAGTCCTGCCCCCAAAGTTGCACCCAAACCCCAACTCAGTGGCTGGACACGCCTCAAAAAGCAGCTAATGGAGGAGGCAGAGGAGCCCCAGTTCCCAGGGCAAGAGCCCAACCTGGAGCCTGTTCAGGTGGAAGAACCCACTGTGGCCAGTTCCCGGCCCCCTGCCTCCCGGGCCTCCAGAATGTGGGACGCTGTACTGTACCGCATGTCAGTGGCCACATCTCGCAACCACCCAGTAGAGCCAAAAGGTGGGGAGCCTCCCCCAGCTGGCCTCCCCCGCCTGCCCTTCTTGTACCGGCCTCGCTTCAATGCCCGCAAGCTGCAGGAAGTTGCACGGGCCCCTCCCACACTCCAGCCCTTTGTCGTGCTGAGCCCCCAGCCCAAGAACTTCAACCGGACAGCAGCTGGCTGGAGGCTCTGGTGAAGTGTCCAAGACTACAGGGTGGACAAAGCATGGCTGAGCTCTAGCAAGGAGGCCACAGCCATTGCAGGAGGAAGCACAGCGGGGTGTGGGGTAGAGGGAGGCAGGTGTGTGAGTGTGTCTGGGCAGCCTGGGAAGGGTGCATTCTGGGGCCCAGGAAAGCCTAGTGGAAGGGGACAGGTCAGGAAGGACAAGTCAGAGAAGTGGAAAAAGCAGGGAGAATAGGGAGGGGAGGCCAGGGTCTCATTGGTACTGGGGGACGGGTCTGATCAATGCAGTGCGGGAGTCTGAGGGGTGAGAATTAGTGAGAGGGAGAATAAGCAAGTGTGTGGGGAAGTGGGAAGTGGCATTCTCTGACCTTGCCAGGCAGGCCGTGGAGCATGCCCCCTAACTGTCAAAGCCTGGGGGATGTAATTCCTTCTGTGTGAGGTCAAAACTATCACCAGCTCCAGTAGCTGTTTGGCATTTGGGTGCCTGTGAAAGGCTCAAAGGGCTGTGGGAGCCAGACTCAATGCCAGGATGCAGGTGAGGGTGGATGAGGAGTGTGCAGAGGCACAAGGAAAGCTGACTGGGCAGTGGAGGGGTCTGGCAGTGGCTCTGTCCACTGCACACTTGTTTCCCTGCCTCAGCTGACAACTCCTTGAGAGCTTGTTGGTTGGAGAGAGGGCAGGGTCAACCTGCTAGTCACATCTGGGCTTTTATGACAGAGTGAGGAAGGTGTCTTCGACATCAGGGCTGAGAGACCAACCTGGCCAAAATATGTGGATTGGAAGCTGAGGCTGGCACAGGGCACTGCAGGGGTCTCAGACTGCAAACAACAACCCTGATGGGCCACCAACCACAAAAGAGGGACCCAGAGGAGCCAGGAAGGACCTTTAGCCCCGGCCATCACACAGGACTTGGTAGGGGACGAAGGCAATGGGGGTGGGCTGGCTGCCCTACTGGATGTGATAGGTGCTGAGTTGAGCCTGGGACCTGGGCTACCAATAAACATTTATCTAACCACGCAGGTGCCTGCTCTCTGTCTTTACCAAAGTTGGGGGCAGCAAGTTCTTCCATGGCCTTTAGCCATGGGGACAAGAGAGCAAAATGTGGGTCCTGTCCCCTTTATAGAGCCAGTGCACTGACACATGGAGAGTCCTGTACCTGGGACTCTGGCCTGTTCACTTTCTCTAGCAGTGACCTGGCTGCCATTTTTCCCCAATAAGCCCCAGTGCTCATGGTGGGAATCCTGAGGCAAGCTTTGAACTTCCTTTGTGTGGTGTATGGGAAGGCCTGGCCCTGAAGATGCAGTCTGGGGCTGGTGTGAGACAACGGACGAGTCTGCCTCGGGTCTGGAGGCCCAGCCTGGGTCTAGATACAGCTACTTTTGGGGCTGGGACCTCAGGCCCCAGGGCCCAGCAGGGTAGACAAACAGACTCTGTCCTCATTCTGGGAATGTGGCAGAATGGCATATTTCACATCCAATGTTCTGTGTTCTGGTCACTGCCCTGGACTTACCAAAAGGTGTGACCTAAGGTGCTGAGCCCTCGTCCAAGAGCACCTTCTCGTACTTCCCATGACCGGTGGCCACAAACTTGTACCTCTTCCCAGATGGGGTGCTCTGTTGGTGAAAAAGACCAGCAGTCAAGGAGAGACCTTTGGAAAGGAGAGGATGCTGCCTCTGGGAAGCCCTCCAAGATGAAAGGGTCCCTCTTCACCACCTTCAGCCTGCACCGGTTGTACCAGGACCCACCTTGACTGTAGATGATGTCTTAGAGTCTCCTTTCTTCTCCCAGAGGCTCTTCTTGCTCAGGTCTCCAGCGACAATGTCCTGGGGGTAGAAGAGGGAGTTATTGATGGGCCAAAAGCCCTGGATCCTTCTCTTTTGCCTGGCTTTCCCTGGTCAGAGGGGTAGGGACATACCCACCTGCTCTCTGGAAGTGGGACCCTGCAGGCGGAGGCAGGAAAGAAGACAGCCCGTGCTGTCCCTGGCCAACACAGACTTCACACAGACCCTTCAGAGTGACTCCTTCACACAGCTCAGTACTCTGTCTACCCATGATGCACCCTGGATGATCTACCACTTGCTTCTCAAGGGAACCTCCCAGGTTTTGCCTTCCCGGCCCAACCCTTCCCAAGGCAGGGCCTTACCTTGCAGGAGGGAGTCTTTGTAGCAGACTGAGTCTGCACCTCTCCAGTCTCCCACCGACTCTTGGTATCAGCCACAGCCATGCTGGGCAACTCTATGGAAGGCTGGCGAGATAGCTTAGGGGTCCGACCAGCACACTACAGAGGAGAGAGGGCCCCAGGGTAGCATTAGTCATCAGCCCCCAAGAAGCATATTGGAAAGTCTTGGGGAGCCTCTTTTATCTTTATTCCCCCAGGAGGGCTTTCTCAATGCAGGGCTAGGGCCAGGTACTCTGGAAAAACGTGCTTTCCTTCATTCCAGGTACTTAGGAAATATGCTCTTAAGTTTGAAGAGCACAAGTGACATAATGGCATATGAGACATGTGGGGTCTGTCTTAATACTATTCGTGGTACAGGCCTGGGGGCAGAGGGGCCATATGGCGGGCACTGGGTGGAGTTTTAGTGGGGGTAGGGGCGTGGGTTAGATGGAAGAGGGTGTTGGTTGAATAGTGGGGTGTTTTTTGGATAGCAGGGCGGGACTTCATGGGTGGAGGGACATCGACTCGATGGAAGACCACGGGATGGGCAGAAGAGTGTTGGTTGAATGGAGAGGCATGGTCTGAAGGAGAGATGTTGAGAAGAGATGCATTGCTTGCATAGACAGAGGCTAATGAGATAATGGTGCTAGCTGGGTGGAGGAGTGATGTGCCTGCTAGGTTCTGGCCCTCGAAGGAATTGCTAAAATCATTACGGTGGTCATCTAATACGGCCAATGACCTTAAAACAAAAGCCCATCTTCCCAAGACCACGTCTCCCTTCTTCTCCAACTTCGCCCAGGCCAAAATTTACTTCTGCCCTTTCCGCCGCCTCAGGAAAGACCCCAATCAGCTCCCTCAGGTATATCTAAATATCCCCTCCAAACTCCACCCCTGGAAAAGGCCACAAAAGCCTCAGTGTCCCTCCCCACATTCTCTCCTGCATCCTCAGAGAAAATAAATCCTGTCCCTTCTTCCTTCTGCCTGTTTCTCTGCTGCGCCGAATACCTATCAGTACCCACGTGGAGGTGTTGGCTGACTGGAGGGACACTGGTAGGTTTGCAGGGTGCTAACTGGCTGGAGGGACACTGGCTGGGTGGCTGGTGTTGACTGGATGGAGTGAGAGCTGGCTGATGGGGAAATGGTGCATGGATGGAGGATCTGCCAGAGGGCCCCGGCGTACCTCAATGGCCTGTGTATACTGTTCCAGCCTCTCATCAATCTTGGAGATAGGCAGTGCTGGCTGGGACTTCTTCACGCTGTTACTGGAGAGCAGAAGTGATGAGCGTCAAGCCTCTCTCCCCTAGGGCCCCTCCAGCCCACCCTGCACCACTCCCAGGGCCCTCCAAGATTCCAGATCTCTACCCCTTCAGTTACTCTCTTCAACTCCTCAAGGAGGATCCTGGAGGGCAGACAGACATACCTCTTCTCTATGGAGCGGTTCAGGGACTCGGTCCTGTCGGCAAGCTGTGGGTTTGGGCAGAAGCACGGAGTTTGAGTGGCCCAAGTGAGGTGGGCACGCCACTTCCTAGCAGCCCCACCTGGCACCTTAGACCACTCCGCCATCCTGACACCTCCTAGCAGCCCCACCTACCAATCCCACCACCCACTGCCATGTCAGGAGGTTTTACTGAGCACTGGCCATGAGAAAAGAGCAAGGTGAAAGCAGTGTGCTGGGCAGGAGACTGGGGAGACAGAGCAGGAGTCTTTGGACTTGACCTACTTTAGCAGTGGGGCTCAGGGGAGGTGAGCGCAGTTCCGTGGTCCCCTCTAAGAGCAGGGGGCTGGGGGTCCTGGGCTGCAGACATTGCTGGTGCTGGGGACACAAAATCCACACGACGACCCAATGACCCCTCCCTGCAACCTCCTGCCCCTCCTAGGGCATGCTGCAGCACACCCTTTCCCCTCCCTGGGCCTCAGGCCCTGTCTGGCCCTGACACGCTGCAGCCCAGGAATTTTCCTGCTAGAGTAGTGTCTCCTGATCAAGGGGAGGAACTTGCCCTGAAGGTCACCAGGCTTATTGCCTCCACCCTCCCAGAATGTGGGCCTGAAGGGAGAGTCTAGGGCAGGGGACACTGGGCAAGTCCACAAGGCCCACATGGTGGTACAGGAGCCAGCCTGACCCAACCCAGGGAGAGAAGTTACCACGACCCCCAGGGCAAGCCCTCACCTCCTCCTCTGCCTCTCTGGGCTCTGCAGCCCCCAGGTGGCCCTGGACTTCAGATTCATCTGGGCCTGGTCCCTCCTGGCTCAGACATAGTCCCTCCAGCTGAGATTCTGTGTAAAGAAGTCCACCACGGTTGCTGTCATCTTCACAGGAACACTGGCAGGACCTACTGTGTAGAAAGGGAGGCAAAGCCAACTGAGAGCCATTCGGTTCCTTGGTTCCAGTCTGGTCCTTGTTTGGAGCCTTAATCTCCCCATCTGTAAAATAGGGGCAGCCAGACAGTTGAATGTTGAGGGCCCCAGCCTCCTCGGGGAAGGAGGCCCAGCAAGCTCACAAGCAGAGGTTTTCAGAAGTTTTCTGAGTCTCTGCATGGAGCCCCGAGGCTCATTTCAGAACAGCAGCCCCTGCATGGTTCCTGCCGTGCAGGGTACTCCTGCACTCAGGCAACGCCCCACCCCCCAAAACTCCCTGTCCAGGCAGGGCCCAGCTTCAAAGGGGTTGTACATGACCTCCCCACTGGCCTGGGCTGCCTGAGCTGCCCTACTCTAGTTGTAGGCAAGCAGATCAGTGGAACAGGATGTTGAGAGGGGGAGGTGGTGTGCAGGGGTGTTTTTTGGGACTGGGTCAGCTAGGGCAGGCACACTTCACTGAGGAGAGGGGCCACCAGGGAGGGGAGGCAGCCAGCTGGCAGCTGGGCGTGGCTCTGCACTTGAGCGGCACTGAACCTGGAGAAGATGGTAAATTCTTGCATTTTCCATGATTTCAGGCCCCTTGGCGGACCTGCCAGCCAAGACCCAGACCCACCGTCCAAGGTGGGCCAGGTCCCAGCCACAGGCAGCCACACAGAGGGGCCATTCAGGAACTGGCAGTCTGCGAGTGAGCGGACAGTCAGGTGCCGGGGGTGGGGTGGGAGTGCAGGGGCTCAGCGCTCCAGCAGTAGAGCAAAAGTGCCCCCTGCTGTTGGGTGAGAGAAGGCAGGGAGCCAGCAGGCGGGCTGCAGCTGCCCCATCTCAGAGACAGCTTGTGCAGCCAGAGGCGGAGATGGGGGAGTGGGAAACTGAGGCCAGCGGCAGGCAGGCCCGGACCAGGGCCAGGGTAGAGAGACGGCTCTCAGGGCATGGGGCCCTGTTTGTAGGGTGTAAATGGGGTGAACATGACACAGGAGAAAGTTGACACAGAGCCCCAGCTGGTCTGGGGCCATCAGAGGGGCTCCAGTAGGGGAACGGAGGCAATCCCCCAAGCTTGGAGCTTCCGGGCAGGACTGGGGACTCATGCCCTAGCCCTGAAGGGACAAGGTGGGGTTGTCATCACACGTAGCCCATGAGTTACTAAGAACAGTTCAGACCTTGAACCAGGGGAGGGCAAGGTGAGGCTCAGGAGCGGTCCCCATCCACAGACCCCAGGGGCTCCCTGGGCCCCCCCATCCTGATTTAGACAGGCATACACGTCCACACATCTGGAAAGCATGCTCCCCCCCAGGCAACCTCGAAGGCACACATCTGGAAATACCTGCTCCCCTTCGTGGGAATGGAGATCAGCCAGCCCCCAGGGAGGGGGTGCGGGCTGCAGAGCCTGCATTACGTCAGTGGGCTGCAGCTGCGTGCTGATGTGGCAGCCCCCCCCCAATCCCCGCCGGCCGCAGCTGGTCTGGATGGGGCCCAGGGGCCCTAGGGAGCCCAGGAATGAAATTTCCTCACCGCCCCCTCCCTGTAGCCCCTCTTAGGCCTCCCTGCCGTCTCGCTCCCTTCCTCCCTTCCCTCCTTTCTCCCTCTTTTGCAGTCATAGGGCTTCTGGTGGGGGCTGGATGGGAAGGGAGGGCAGAGGCTGCTACTCAGACACAGCAAGGGGCTCAGGGACAGCGGCGCTCCTGTCCAGCTGCCCAACCTCCGGGTCTTGACCCCCACTTGCCTGTCCTCCTGCTCCCCCTCTGGACACTTGCCCCCAGGGAGGTTGCAGCCATCCACAGGCCCCTCAGTCCCCCAAGACTGCTGCTGTTGCTCTGGCTTCTGCGACCATTCACCAAAGCCCTCATCTTCATCCAGTTCAGGGGTCCGTGAGGGCTTCAGACTGAGGGTGAGAGAGCAGTGGTGGGCTTAGTGCTGAACTTTGGTATGCTCCAGCCCCATGCCCCTCCCTATCTTCCCTCAGACCCCGGGCTTCATGTGCAGGAGACCCCATCTGCCTCCTAAGTGGCTCCCCACACCTAAGCTGTGTCTGCCCTGGAGTCAGAGAACCTCTGAGAGCTGGGCTGAGCCTCGCCCATCAGTCTGGGGCTCCCAGAGGACAGGGCTGTGCTTCTCCTGTTAGTCTCGGGCTTCCAGAGTCTGCCCCAACCCCAGGCTTATGCTGAGTGGCTTTTCATGGGCCTTCCATAGCAGCGATGTGAGCTACCTGGTAGCAGGGACTTAGGAGTGACAAAGGGCCCAGCCAAGAGGCCATGACCGTTGTAGCACCGCACCCCACCCAAATATGCTGACTCGGAGAAAATGGAAAAAAAACAAGGCCAGGAGGAAGGGGAGCATTATTGGAAAAACAGTCCAGCCCAGCCTCAGGGGCCTCCTGGGCCCAGGAAGGAAACAAGCCGGCCTGTGGCCGCCAACTTGGACGTGGCCTCTGTGAGTCACCGGCAGCAGGGAGTTTGGGCGGGGGTCAGGGGCCAGAGCTACGTGGCTAGGGTCAGCACCAGTCCAAGAAAGGGCTGGAACCAGGCAGGGTGTCCAGAATTTGAGTCAGAGCCCCCAGGAGGCTGGTGGGGAGGGGCTATTTCATGTGGCTCTGTGGACCCTCTGGCCAGTTAGGGGTCCGGCACACAGGGTTGCCCAAGGCTGCTGACTACCCTCTTTCTGAGAGCGTAGTCCTTTCTCAGACTTTTTTTGTATTGGGACCCCAAAGCCAGGGTCTGACTAGCACTCTTCTCTGCATAGGCTGTGCGACAGCAGGGTCCAGGGCCAGGGGTCTTACAGTGCCTCCTGCTCTGGCCACTTTGGGGACTGGCCGCCTTCATCCTGGTCTTGGGCCTGGAGCTGCTTGTCTCTCTCCCGCCGGCGGCGCTCCCGGGCCACCTCTTCTTCATCCTCCACACTCCACTGGGTGGTGAGCCTGGGGAACAGAAAGACAGTCCTACCATGGCCAAGATGTAGTGCCACATGGTGAAGATAGACAAACCCAAACTCCGGACCAGGGCTCCAGGCCTCAGTTTACCAATCTTCAGGTCACACAAAGCAGTTATAAAGGTGTGTTTGACCCAGATAGAGAATTCAGGACTCCCCTGGGGATGGAGGGGTACCAGAGAACATCTGTCTGCTTCCACCAGCCTGTCCTTGGACCTTTCTAGAGGTAGGACCTATAGCAGTTGGCTTTGGCTCCAGGGGGCTCTAGGAGGATGGGTGGGGTCCAGAGAGTGTTGATCCCTGTCAGTGACCCTCCAGTCAGCCAGCCAGCACCCTACCCTACCAGGCTAGGATACTCTGTTCCATATTGGGAGGTCACCTTGTTGGGGTTCCAGGGTAAGGAGAGTCTGCACCTGGCCAGCCAGGCAGGGCACCCCCGTCCCTGCCTCATGTTCAGCCCCTTGCTGGGGGGCTTTGCATGGCACCCCCTCTTGATCTCAGAGCCCTCTGTGGAGTCTCTCTGAGCTGTTTCCCATGGTGGAAACACTGTCATGGGGGAGCTGCTGCCCTCAGAGCATCCAGACACCATGCTTCTCGAAGCCCCTCACCCCGGGCCAAGGCGCAGCTCGGGGAAGACACCAACTGGCCTGGGACCAGGATCTGGAGCCATCTCTAGGCATTGTTCTCTGGCAGAGACTATAGGCTTTGGCCATCCTGGGTCCCCTCCTAGTTTGGCTAGAGCTGAAAAGGAGAGTCCAGGGTCTCTGCTGCTCCCTGCCCCAGGCCCAGGAAGCAAGGCAGGAGCTGCTGCAGGGCTGGGTCTCCTTGCTGGGGTCTCAGTCCTTCCTGCCAGTGTCCGCCGCATGACCCCCACAGCCCACTCCCCTCTGGGCCTCAGTCCCCTGGCCAGGCATCCTTGCCAACACATGATCTAATCTCTCCAGGTCTCCCCTAAGCCTCTCAGACGAAAGCCAGGCCTCTCTTCAGGCTCCAATGCGGGGCCTGCTCCCCCCGCTGCAGCCACACAGGACTCCAGCCACAACCTGCCCACCCATTCAAGCGCTGCACCCCAAGCTGCCTGCTTCTTCCTCAGAAGGGCCTTCAACTTCCAGCCCCAGGAAACCCTTAATTCCCCACACCTGGCTCCCATCACCTGGCAGATGCGGCTGGCCTCCCAGCTCCACAGCCAACGGGGACTGCTGGACATCTTCATCTGGGGGCTGTTGGCTGAGGCTGTGGCCCAGGTCCCTCTCCTGTGCCCATGCACACTGGCAGCCCCCAGACGGATGATGGAGGAGCAAAGCAGGATGGAGCAGAGAAGTGGGTGGGAGGTACCCCTTCTACTTCTGGGGCAGCCTGTTGGGAGTGACCACTGGGGCAGGGGTTTTGTTCCCACTTCTAGGTTCATGGGCAGCACAGGCAGGCTTGGGTAGGCATGTGCTTGTGGAACTTGTGTGTGGCCCAGGGGAGTATGTAAATCCAGACCTGAGGCACAGAACTGTGCCTCAACTTCCCCTTTGGGCTGGACTGAGGCCTTCTATGTGGCACTCATCTCTACATGGGGCCAGGAGGTCTTCTCCTCTCCTTGGACCTCTGTGCCAGGCTCAGGGAGCCACCAAAGGCACAGCAACGTGCCAGTCTCAGAGGCAGTGACACACACAGGCATGGGGCTCACAGAGCAGCGCCTAGTTCACACTGTGGCAGGGCAGACAAATACACACGTGTTCTCCAGGTGCCCGTGTGGACACCACACCCTCACACAGGCTTGTACGTGCACACACATGTGTATACACACATAGACAGCATCGATCAAGTGTAGACTCAGGCCCAGGGACAGAGGATCACGCAGTGGCAGGTCCTGGCCCCCTCGGCCCTCTCTTAGATTCCTCTGGGTGGCCCCCACCTCACTATTTATTGTTTTCTTCCATATCACCCAGACAACAGTGGAGCTGGGTCTGGCAGGAAGCCAAGGTGTGCTTTCTGGGAATGTCCCATGGAGAGTCTGAAGCCCCCTGAAGGTCACCCCCACCCAGCCCTCCATGGACAGTGGGGTTCAGGGTAGGCATCTCCCAGTGTCTCCCTCAAGCCCCATGCTGGGGAGAAGCCCCACTGCCCCCCAGCTCCTGACCCAGCAAGTGAGGACAAGAGGCCTGGGGGCCCCTTCCCCTGCCTCCTCCCTTCCAGCCTGCCCCAGGATATGAGTAATGCGGGCCCCCTCCCCATGACCTCACCCCCTCACTATTCCACAGCTGGGCTCCGTTCTGGGAACTGAAAGGGGGTGGCTCTCCTGGGGTGGGGTGGGGGCCATTGGCCTGGGAAAGGCGCCCCCCGGCCAGCGGCCCAGACCCCTTGGCACGCTCCTCGGGGCTGTCAGGGCTCTGGCGATGGACGCCCCACCCGTGGCCCTGGCCCGGCTGAGTGCAGCTGCAAGGGATTTGGTGTTCCTGTGCAAATGCAATCAGGCCATTTCCTGTCTGTTCTGGCTCCCTGGCCTGGGGTTCAGCCTGAGGGGCCAGGACAGGGGGCCCTGTCCTCCTGCACGCAGCATTCTAGGGTCTGGGGGAGTCAGTTCAGTCTTCACCCAGGCGCAACAGTGTGTGCAGACCCCCAGGCTGCTCCCTATTTGGAATGGGACTTCCAGAGCTCAAGGTGGTCCCTGTGGCCAGGTCTACTGCCTGCCACCTCCCACTGGGGGCACCAGTTCCCCTTCTGTCTCCTCTGCTTCCCCCTGCCCCTCCACCCACGAGTCCCCACCAGGGTCTGAGGATATCCATCTTGGGTCCAGCCAGCCCTTTTAGCTGTCCACTCTCTTGGTCCTCCCTCACAGTTTCAGAAGGGGCTCAAGCCTCCATCCCTGTCCCTACTCTGCCCCCTACAGGCAGCTCAGGTGGCTGACCCATCTAGCTATCTCTAAAAAGCCAGCTTCACGGTTTGTGTGGAGAGAGCTCAGGGTTTGCCTGGGGCCACAAACCAAAGCAAGGAGGTGCGTATGTGTGGCAGGATGCATGTGTGGTAGGGCACCTTCTTGAGGTTGCCTGTAGGGAACTTTCCCTACTCCAAGTCTGCTGGATACCACAGGGCTAGCAGCGATCTGGAAGCCTTGGGCTTTCTGAGGCCACCAAGGTCTCCGTTATTCTCCTGAGCCCACCCTCCTTAGATCTCATCGGCTCATGGTCCTGAGGGTGAGGCCACAACCCTTAGGAGAAGAAACAGCACAGAAGAAATGAGCCCACGTGGGGGCCCCCCTGGTGCTAGCTCAAGTGCCCCAACCCAGGACATTCACAAGCAAAGGGTGGAGACCAGAGTCTGACTGGGAAATCAGGAAGAAGAGGCTGCAGCAGGCCAACACCTGAATCCCTCAACAAAAAGTGGTCACTTATGAAGCCTTCGGCAGGCTTCGTGGTGGTTCAAAGCCAGCATCCCATCCCTGGGGCTGGCCTTCCCAGCTGTCACCCTCTCCCGGGAAGCAGTGGTACAGGTAAACCTGAAACAGCCACAGGCCAGCAGGCAGGCACTGGTACAGATGGGGGAAGGGCCTGAGTGAGGGCACAAGAGCCCGGCCCAGCTTAGGATGGGCTGTCCTGTGCCATACCTTTCCTGGTAGGTGTTTTCCTTCCTTTCTATGTTGTCTTAAGTGTGGAACCGATGGAGGCAACCCCTTTCCTATTGTCCTGGGCTGGTGAATGATGGGGGACATCTCACGGGGCAAGACCCGGGTCCCACTGTGTAGGAAAGTTTCATGATGAGTTGCTTGTAAAGGGGAGGTGACCTTGAATTTGAGCAAGGATCATTGGGCCAGAGAAAAAGGAGGAGTAGGGCAAAGTCAAGGAGACCACAGAGCATGCAGAGCCCAGAGGTGCTGTCTCAGGGTCCACAGGGGTGGCTTGGGCAGGAGTGGGTGCAAGCAGAGTTGCATCCTATTAAGAAACCCTAGCTGTGTGGGAGAGAGCCAGTGAGGCTGGGTATGGGAGAGGATCCAGGCAAGAGCGACTGGGAGGGAGAAGGGAAGGCTGGGTTTGGAAGGCAGACAGGGCAATGTCTTCCAGAACTGCCATAGTGTCTACTCTGCGTGAGGTGGAACTCAGGGTGCTCAGTGTGGGGAGACGCGGAATGAGGTCCAGCGTAGAGCATGGGCCAGGGCCCTTCCTGGTGGTGGTGGCCCTGGACCCTGCTGCCTCTGGCCCCACCAGGCCTGAGGCAAGCAGCTTTGCAAAGACCCTGATAGCAGCAACCTGAGCTGGCCCAAGGTGACCAAGAGGCGTAGCTAGAGAGCCCAGGGACATGACGCCCTCCTGGCCCAGGCACAGCACCTCAGGTCTCCTGCAGGCGCCACCAAGAACGAAGCTCCACCTGACCCTGCCTCCATCATGGAAGCTTGTTCACCCAGGTGGAAGAGAGAGCTCAGGGGTCAGATGATGGCTCAGGTCCCCAGACTACCTCCCCCAAGTCCCTGGAAACCTGGGCCATCAGTAGCTCCTCAGGCCTCAGTGTCCCTATCTACCAGGACCACAGGAGCTCATGTAGTAGCCCCACTACTGTGCAATCCACACATGTGGTCAAATCTCTTGTGACCTCATTGAGGTTATTCATGGAAAGGATGGCCCTAGAGGGCCAGGACACCCCAGGAATAAGTGGCAGGCCTTGGGAAGATCACAAAGTGTACAGCAGCTAAGCTGAGGGATATGGGGGCCACACTTCTGGAGGAGACAGGCATACAGGCTGTGGAACCAGGAACCTCTGGCTGGCCTGTGGAGGACAGGTGGGAGGAGAGAAGGGAGTGCAGAGCCCACTCCTACCCTCCGGGGAAGGGCTGTTGAGTGGAGAAAACTGTGATCCAAGTGGACATCCAGTGCCCCCTGCCCAGGGGAAGGGAGGGACAGGCCAGCAGGTGGAAGAGCCAAGGGAGGCCAGAATGGGATGATCCCAGGGGGTACGCACTCATCCTGGGGAAACAAGTGCGAACCCTGCCTAGGGCATGCTGGGGCTAGG